CAATTTCAGCATCTCTCCCCTATATGTATGTATGTATGTATGTATGTATGTATGTATGTATGTATGTATGTATGTATGTATGTATGTATGTATGTATGTATGTATGTATGTATGTATGTATGTATGTATGTATGTATGTATGTATGTATGTATGTATGTATGTATGTATATGTATGTATGTATGTATGTATGTATGTATGTATAATATACATACATATATATAATATACATACATATATAATATACATATAATGTATATATACATACATATATACATATATAATACACATATATTGTATATATACATATATATATATATATATATATATATATATATATATATATATATATATATATATATATATATATATATATATATATATATATATATATATATATATATATATATATATATATATATAGGGGAAGTGGGGGCATAACCGCCCCCGTAACGTTTGGAATAATGTTATATGAAAATAAAAACGAAATGTGTTTTTTTAGCAGTTTATTTCAATAACCACATCATTAAGCTTTAAATTGATGCATTTAAGAAAAAAATTAAACAGGTTTTGAAAATGTTATTACACAAAAATTACACTTAGTAAAAAAAAACGGTTTTGCCCCCATTGTGAGGCAAAACCGCACCCTCAAAAAAATCGATGGGGCTACACCTTTCATGGTACATTTTTTTTACAATTTTCACAGCTCAGATGATTTGATGATTTTGTTGCATGTTTGCATAATGTGCAGGCATTCTTTGTGTTTACGTTTTGAGTTCTGCCCCAAAAGAGAGTTCTACCCCAGAAGAGAGTTTTTAGAAAGAATTCAGTTTCATAGATTAATTATTAGATTATGGTATTATCAAAAATAACTTTCACTTCATGAAATAATGCTGATAACACATATTTTTAACACTAAAATTAAATATTGCTTAATTTTCAAAAAGAAGGTCAGGAAAAATATGATGTAAATATAATATTTTTATCAAAATAAAAATTATTATTCACAACTTCTCAGAAACTTAACAGTCACTCTTTTTGACTTATGCAAAATGAAGGAAACTGTTTACTAACGCGTATATATATATATATATATATATATATATATATATATATATATATATATATATATATATATATATATATATATATATATGTATATATATATATATATATATGTATATATATAAATATATATATATATATGTATATATATATATATATATATATATATATATATATATATATATATATATATATATATATATATATATATATATATATATATATATATATATATATATATATATATATATATATATATATATATATATATATATATATATATATATATATATATATATATGTGTGTGTGTGTGTGTGTGTATGTATATATACAATTTTTTTTTTTAACTAAAGGCCGTTTTCCACAAGACGAAAAGTTCACGCGAAGCGAATTTTTTCGCTACGACGAAACGCTGTTCTTACTTTCTTTCGCGCTACTTTTTTTTTGTTGTCAACAATAAAAATGGCAGCAATAAGTTTACGCTGTATATTTAACTGAAAGCAGTTAATACTTTTTTAGCAATACTTTCTACTTTGAAGCATGTGAAAATTTCTTTCCGTGCATTAATATTAACATTTCTGCCTTTATATGTAAGATGTGATATTATTTTGTAATATAATCGTTTAATATAAGGTTTTTTTTACAAGAAAGTATAAGAAAATAAATGCTAAACTCTGATATGAACGTTTCTATTAAAAACTATTACTGCAAGAACGAACAGCAGGTTTAACTCTATAAAGAATTTTTCACAAAAAGGTTTATCTTCGTGTGGCCACTTGAAGATAAACATTCTTATGAAGTGTAACTTTCGTAATTGACAGTGTGAAAATTTATATTTGTAAATTTTCGATTTAGTTTTATATATAAGTCTGGTCATTTTTTTATGTAAGTCTTGCCCCTTGTTTAATAAATTTACTCATGCTAGCCAATTTTTAGAGTAAATTCATATAAAATTAATAAGAACGCCAGGTTAAGAATTTTGTTTTTTGTTACTTTAAAAACAACATGTTTTCGCTTTTTTTTAATGTTGACATCACGTGATATAATTTTCAAAATTTTATTGGTTTTCGCTTATGGCGATTCGCAAAAAGTCGAAATGAATCCGACTTTTTTTTTCGCTGCAGCGAAACGCTGTAGCGAAAAAAAATCAAAAAATGTTTAATCTGCGCATGCTTAACGACGAAAATATTCGCTTCGCGCGAATTTTTCGTCTTGTGGAAAACGGCCTTAAGGCTCAACCTTTCAACGGTTGTTAAAGTACAAAATCCTAAAGTAGGACAACATTTTAATGAACTGTCCTACTTTAGGATTTTTACAAAATCCTAAAGTAGGACAGTTCATTAAATTGTTATGATTCTAATTTATTGTTGCTGTTACTGCTGTTTAAAATATTTTCTTTTTTTCATCACTTTCAAAAGATGAAGATCTTATTTTGGGATAAAAGCTAAATAAGCAGCACAACGAGCTGAGTCTAATGGAATACTTAACGTCAGTGACTAATATTTTGCATGAACAATTACAAAAACTGGATTATAAACACCTTGGAATGGGTTAGCAGTAGGAGGTTCCGGGACTGTCTGTGAACTTAAAAATTCAGGTTTTATGCCCAACAACATGTACCAGTGATGGCTCTAGGAATTGTGGTAAAGGATAGGGGGCAGGTGGGCTGGGATTATGAAATATTTTTATTCTGGTGGTGGTGAGGGTATGCATAACTCCCCCTCCCCCCCCTCCTCTGGATCCGTCACTGTTACAAACCAAAAAACTCCTAATCAAAAAATGCTACGAATAAAGGGTTCAATACCTGCCACAGTAAATCCTGCAGAAATGTTAAAGTAAACACTTGTGCATAAACTTTACTTGCAATTGCAGCTATATTATATACGGTGTGACTAAATGTGTTTTTTTTACTAAATTTAAACACACAATTGAAACATGGTTCTCGTCGCTGTCAAGAATTAAAAGCACTGAATAATCTTATAAACATTACACATTTTAAATGTTTTATCCATTACTTAAAAGATTGCAACATTCGTATAATCAAATAGGTTTGTAAGCCAACACTATGAAGTGGACTACCATATATTATGCTTCCTTTAAAATGAGTACGTGAAAGATGAAAAATGGAATTGAGATTTCTATCAAATTAACTGCATAACAAATTGTTAACAATATCCTTGTTTCTGTTGAAACTATTCTTTCAACTTGCTTGTCTAAAAACCAATTATTGGTGGTAATAGTTACTGGTAAACTACCAGTAACTATTACCACCAATAATTGGTTTTTAAACCGTTAAGAGACCGACTGAGCGTTCTCATCAACATTATAAATACTTTGTAGATGAAACGAACCTCTTTGGTGAAAAATTTTCCGATTGTAATACAATTAAAACCAGTTGCTTGTGCCAATTTTGTAAAGATAATACGTAACATAAAACCATTTTGTGAACTTCTCCAAGATTTAAAAGTGTGTTAAGAGAGAGTTATAGCAAATTTTTCTGTTGCTTTGGTTGACAACTCATAGTGAAGTTTTAAAGCCTTTAAAAGTTAGTCTGATCTAGATTTTTCTTCTTCGTTACTGAAGATTTGCACGGTAATAAGGTTAGGTTTGCAGACTGTATTTAAATTTAATTGACGTTTCCTTACATATCGATAAAGACTCATCAGAAAACGTTTTTTCTAATGAGTCATCTTTGATGAATTACCGCGTAAAATAAAAATATTTAATAAGGCAATAGGCAAAGGCAATTTAAAAAAAAAATAGTTTTTTTTACTCTATCACTTTTATATTTAATTATAATTTTTTTATGTATGCACCTTTAATTATGGGATCAAAGATGCATAAACATATTACGATTAAAGGGAGCTAACCTGCTCCACTTTTTTACAAAAAATTTCTTTTTGTCTTATTAGATGCTTACAGCTACTTTACAGCTAACAAGGTGAATAGTTTAGTTACACAATGATATAAACAAAAATATTAAACCCAAACATAAAAAAGATCTGAGATTCCTTGTAAAAGTAAAAAGTTACATTTAGCCGTCAAAATCAAATTTTTTAGAAAAATTTTCAATAAACGAATATTTTCATACACAATTATTTTCGTAGATTCATTATTTGTGACATGCGGATTGTCAGCCATCTTTAATAAGTTATGTGCAAGCTCTCCCTTATACTTGTACAGTTTGCTTAAAAAATAAAGGTAAAAGATCTAGGCGGTCAATTTGGAGAACATTTATATTTGTATAAGTAAAGTTTTGAATTAAGTACTAATTAATTACCTACTTAATTCAAAACATATTATATTATAGTGTTTTAAAAATTGAAAACTAAATTTAGCAATTACATTTCAAAACTGGAAAAATTCACTTAACTTTTTGCATTAAGAAAAATGTTAAACAGTTGTCTAAGGAAAAGACAAAACTCTTATGAAAACTACTTTAATCATCATTATTAAATCCGACTTTAATAGCATAAATAATTTATTAAATAAAGAATAGTCTTAAGTATTTTTTTGTGATTTGAAAATAAGCAACAAAATAAATTATGAAAAGAAAAACTTATACCACATTCGTAAACAAAAAGTAATCGAAAGATATTGAAAAGAAATTATTTTTTTGGGAATTTTTCCATTATCGGGTTATAGCTAATTTCTAGTAAAATAAGTTGACGTAATTTATATTACAAATGATTTAAAAATACCTCGCAACTTTCAAAACGTTTACAAATAATCGTATAAATGTTCTTATTTTATATTTAGGTTTTACTCTAGGGCTGATCTCTTAAGTAAGGTTTGACAAAATAATTTAAAAGTTTAGTCAACACCCTTCAAGGTCTCCAAAATCAATGAAATATTTAACTTAAATGCCAACTTGTTGCGCTTCATTTGCAACGAAATATTGTTGAAAAAAAAAAAAAATAATAATAATAATAATATCAATTGAAAGCTGATCTTTTTCTTATGTTTTAAAATAAACTAGAGCATCATGACAAGGAAAATATTTTAAAAACAACAGCTTTATCGCAGTTTGTACTAGAAGTGCACAAGAAAAACAGGTTTTGCAGTTAGTTAACCTACAGAAAAAAGAATTTTGCAGAGAAAAAATACTAAATCGGAAAAAAAAATTATAAAGAAGCGCATAGAAACTACTACATATAAATTAACATCCGCCATAGTACTTGTATATAAACGAGACATTTTTATTTGCATATAAAGTTTGTAAAAAACTTTATATGCAAATAGAAAAGCTAAAAAAAAACAAAGAAATAACTTGCACTCTGTTGATAATCTAAGCTTTTCGCTTTGAGCTGAAAAAAATGATTCTCGTGTTGCAATCATTGTATCTTTCTTTTATAAAAAATTATTTTAAAAATCTTTTTTCAGCAATTGTCAGAATAATTTTTTTTAGAGATCTGAAGAAATCTATTACAACCGACGTTATGCTGGAAATATTTTTTAATATTGCAAAAAACTTCATGCTCATCAGTTCATTTAAATTCGTCATTCATGTTCATCAGTTCATTTATATTCGCCATTCATATTCATCAGTTCATTTAAATTCGTGTTTGGAGATTATAATCTCCAAAACAAAACTAAGGCATTATTAGGCCAAAAATCTATCCATTACAGATTTATGTTAAGAAAATATACTTCCAAACCATTATATCACGATGTAATTTTGCTGAAAAAATAAAAATTAGTTAATTTTTTCATTAAAAAATACAGAGAATAAAAAAAAAACTAATTATATATAAACCATTCTTCCAGTTCTTTTGAAGCTGGCCAATAAACTTTAAAAACACAATCATTTCTTGAAAAAGATCCCTAAACAATAAAATTTTACGATTTTATTTGTAATAGATAGATAGTAATAGAAAAGTTAAGTATTTCATATCACAGATGTGATAACACAATGTCAAAAATCTATTTGGAAATAAAAAGTAATATCTGTATTTACATATGTGAATTACGATGGTTACAGTTGCATTAAATATTCTATGGTTCCTATATTTTAAATTTTTGTTAGCAAGCTTACTTTTTATTAGGGTGTTTCGGAAACACTTTTTAGTTAAATGAGAAAAGTATTGATCAAACTTTTAAAATAACTTTAATGACTTTAGATGCTGCTATAAGAATTGCTATTCCTAATTTGATTTAAAGAAAAATTGTTTTCGTAAAAAGGAAAAAACTAATAAGGATTTTTGAAGATTGTCGTTATTAATAACTAAACCATTGCGTAACTTTTAATCTCCACTTACAACTCTGATATATATTTATAATTTGCTGTTTAATTTTGAACAAAACAGAGTATACACACACACACAAATACAGATATATATATATATATATATATATATATATATATATATATATATATATATATATATATATATATATGTATACATGTATATATATATATATATATATATATATATATATATATATATATATATATATATATAATAATTATATATATATATATATAATTATATAATTATATATAATTATATAATTATATATATATATATATATATATATATAAAATACATAAATTAGTAAAAACACTTATAAGAACAATGTTCTTAAAGAATATTGAGCACTCTATTTGTAAAATACACTAACAAAACTTACATGCATACATATATATATAAATATATATATATATATATATATATATATATATATATATATATATATATATATATATATATATATATATATATATATATAACAGAAATCCTGGGGTCAATTGAAGGAATCATAATTTTTTTTTTATGCATAAGCTGCAAGTACTATTTTTTGAAATTGGTTTGAAAATAAGTTTTACGAATCTTCTACTATCATTCTAAAATCAACATTACAAAATACCATAATATAAGTAGTAACTATCTCAGTTCATAAAACTATAAATATCAATTTACCGGGTTCATAAAAATGGTATCAGATATATTGACATTATATCCTTCATACTTATCAGCACAAACAACCTAATAAAAAAAAATGCACTTGCATTATAAAAATAAAGTGGAACTTTAAAATAAGCAGTTATAAAATCGATTACATATTTAAAAACTTACAACGTCAGGTAATGGATAGAGTCTTAGAGCGTTATCAAAAGACCAATATATTGGTCGTATGTGCAAAGGCAAAGGACACAGATGAGATTGAGATAGCAATGTTTTGGCAAACTAAATAAATTAATGATTTAAAGCAAAAAAACCAAAGAAAAAAATTTCCATTAGGAAAAAAACGACAAAACATGACATACTATATAAAGTGAAACTCGAATTTTTTTTACCCCTATAACAACATAGATTGCTGCTAAAACATATCAGTAAGATGTCAACAAGATTGTTGCTAAAATTTTGTTCGCTTATTTTTAATTTTAACGTAAGTTAAACTAAAATTGAATTTATAATTTAAATTAAAATTTACATGAGAAGGTATATCTTGAAGATCTGTTGGTAAATGAATGCTGTTGCGACACATTTTATTGACAATATCTTCTCGATAAATGACAATCTCTTGACTGCAATATTGAATTCTAAACAGAACCATCAACCTTACAAACAACAATTAAGTTACCATTTAAAAAATGTTTGTAAATAAATGTAAGTACTAAAAACCTTTTTTAAAAATATTTGGCTCACCGACAAGGATTTGATAAGAAATATGCAAACGGAACCTTTTCCTTCAACTTTTCAGAAATCATCTTTGAAAGCGGTGGTCGAGGAAGAATGTTAGCTGGACCCAAGTCTTGTGGCCCAGGAACAAATACAAATCTACTGCTTTCTAAAATCTCGTCAAACTCTGAAATCAGCTGAGCTGTAAGTAATAAGTTAAAGTAATAAGAACTTTATTTTTAATTAAAATAATATTATATTTTAAATCTTTATCAAATTAGTATTAATTTAATTTCTGCTATTTTATTTTAATTTATTGTTAATAAATTACAACAACATAAAGATTGTAAATTGTGGGGAAAAAAAACAACATTACTAATAAAAGATCAATAATTCTGCAAAAAATAACATTTTAATTAACCATAAAATAAGCGAAAAAATATCATTTGCAATAAATATTTAAAAATTATCATTGTAGAAGACTTTAGTTACCCGAAGATTGAATGGAATGATGATGCATTAACAACACTTAAATCAAACTGTGAACAGAACACTATTTTATAGACATTTTAAATAGTTACATTAAACAGTTTGCGTAACTAATCTTTAAATCAACAAATTTGTTCCAACTATTGTGGAAAGTTGCATAAATTCCAAATAAACTTACAACTGGACGACATAAAACATTCACATTATGGTAAATAAAAATTTTGATAACAAAACAGCAAGATCTAATATACAATGGTTTAAGCATGGTAATTGTGACAAGTTATGCAATATTTTTTTTCTGAAGAAACCACGACAAAAAAATTCTTGTTCCATCTATACATTTCTAAAAAATATCCAAAATTATTTGGATATTTTTTAGAAAATTGATGCATATTTAATAGTACCTCGTGGTTACTTATGAGCAGAATGGCAAATATATGTATTGAAGTTTAATAAAAATGAAAATAGTAACCAATTAAATCTTTAAAATTCTCAAAACTTAAAATGAATACAACTATAAAAAAAATTATTATTAAATATATATAACAACATTTTTTATATTTTCTCTGAGAAATTATTCTGAAACATGGTTTCATTCGGGAAAAATTGCACAACTTGTCATATTTTATCAAGAGCTTGCTGTAATTTTTTTCATGTAGTATTATCTGAGATAAAACTCCAATCAAAATTAAGAAAAGCTAAATTTAGTTTTATATAAACACTATTAGCATACCATTAAACAAAAACAAAAACCTCAATTTATTTTATGTTAAAAGTAAACAAAGTACAATAATTTGAATAATTATTTCCATTTAGTATTTGTGAATTTCTAAAATGTTTAAATCACAAAAATAAATGAAATTGCCTTAACAAATATAATGTGATTTCCAAACAACAGCTCATATTTTGTAAACATGCGCTACAAATATACTTAATTTATCATTTGTTTATACTTAGAATATTTAAACATTACAAATATTAATATATTTAAAAATATTAGAATATTTAAACATTACAAATATAGAATATTTAAACATTACAAGTATTGCTGATGTTGGAAAGGAAGTAAGTTTGCTATATATGGACTTTAAAAAAGCCTTCAACAAAGTTCCAAATAAAAAATTTATTAGAAAATTAGCCTATGACATCAAAGAGAAATTGCTAGCTTGTATAGAGCATTTTCTAATCAGTAGAATACAAAGAGTAATTGTGTAAGAAAATATATGATTTATTCAGTAGTATGGTCAAGACCTTGTTTCCACTTCTTTTTATTGTATATGCAAACAGCTTACTTAACAGAAATTTAAATTACAAAATTAAAGAAACTAAATTAGTTGGAGACTTGGACATATTACTATTAGCTGATCTAACTCTAAGTCTTCACTGTATTGACAATTTTGTGCCTGCGCATATTTAATAGAACCTCGTGGTTACTTATGAGCAGAATGGGACAAAAAATAGTAAATACACAGATAAATTAAGGTAACATTTTTGAAAGAAACATGTGTTTACATGAGATTTCCTTTTCTTTTTCATAAAGGGCCGTCCATAAAGTATGTACGCTCATAAGTAGTTTTTGGAGTGTATTTTAATAGCATACAAAAGTAAAAATTTTTTTCCTAAAAATAATCTTATGTATTTGAAAAGAAATTCATTAATTGTACCAATAAATTGTTATATTATTTAATGTGCACATAATATTAACATTTTTTTACATCAAATGACTTAAATGGGGAGAGGTGCAGTAGAGAGCACATACATCGACTGAGTTTATGTTTTGGCAGGCATTCTTTTATATAAAAGAAAAGCATCTCAATACTTATTTAAATAGAGTTTATAAACTATTACAATTTATATTTTAAAAAAATTATATAAATTAAAGTAAACTAGTTTTTTAGGCGAAATAGTCAAAATAATTATTGTATAAATATGGTTAGATATGAATTTCCTGATATCAATTATCTATATTTAGACATACAACATATACTATCTAATTCAAAAACCATCGGGATATTCCAGGACCACCTTTGACCCTAAAATGATCACCTGAGTGGTCATGACCAATCCTAAAGACCGAATATCCAGAGTTTCAAATTCCCTGACTGCAATTACTTATATTTAGACATACAATATGTCACATCTAATTGAAAAACATGGGGACATCTCATGACCACCCTTGACAATTACTAAAATGACTATTTGAGGGGTCATGACGACTTCTAAAGACCCAATATACCTAGATTTGAATTTAGAAATACAACATGTCCCATCTAATTTATAAACCATCAAGAAACCCTATGACCACCCTTGACAACCCCACTTGTGTGGTCATGACCACTCCAAAATTAAAGCCCAAAAATGAACCCCTTGGCCCCAAAAACCTCTATAAACATTTATCATATGTCTATATTTAACCCATAGTTTATCCATTTTTAGACAATTCTAGCCCATTGTGCATTGGTTCGATTGCAGAGAGGCATTTTAATAAAGGAATGTTAAAAGGAAATTTATTAACTAAGTAAACTGATGATTTAAAGTAAGCTTTTAGCATAGTCTTAAAAAACGATGATTTGAAGTCAGGATTTCGAATAATTATTTTTGAAATTTTAAACAGTTAAAATATTATCAATAACCAATTATATCTCTATATTATATATTATATTTCATAACCTTCTCCATAATGAAAATCATAGATAGGTAAATAAATGAGTAACAGAATTAAAAAGACTTTAGTCAATTATCATAACAAGCGATAATGAGGCACAATGTTTTAATACAACTTTATTAGCTTTGTTGCAATAATATGCTACAAACATACTAAGAACTTTCTCCTTTTTTGCCAAGATGTACTCACCTATGTTAAGGGAAACTATTATTGTTTTTATATCAAAAACAAACTCAACATAAAAGTTAAAAATCAAGCTCAACATAAAAATCTTATATAGGCTGAATAATAATCTTTATTGCAATCTTTCCCAGCTAAAGTAGCTATTAATATTTTTGTATGAAATGTCAGATAAACTTTGCATTCTATAAATTTTTCTTGATAGTTATAATTTAAAAAAAACTTTTGTAAATTTATAAAATGGAATTTAAATCAATTAACTTTATATGGAATTTCTAGCATTTAAAAAAGTTAATTTAAATAAACTAAAAAGAAAAAAGAAAAGAAAAAATTATTGCAAAAATTGATCTCACAAAAATTTCACTTATAGAAAACATATTAGCTTAAATGCAGATGTTGATGTAATTAAAATTTTATATAGTTTTCACAAATTAGTAAAAAAAAAACACCTGTCTTTATTATAAAAATAGAAAAGAGATCTCATGTAAACAATTGTTTCTTTTAAAAATACTTTTCTAATTTTATCTGTGTATTTATTTGTTACCATGCAACTCTGGAAATAAGGAACCACAAGGTACTATTAAGATATGCTTGGGAATGAAATTATTGGAGCAGTGAAGAAGTCTATTATGTAGTTAAATGGACCATAAAAGTCATTATGGACTTTACCATTATTATAAATATCCTGTTTTATAAAAATAATAAAATTTACCTAGTTCATCAAAACCTTGCTTCAATTGCATCAGTTGCTTTGTACCACAGTATTGAGAAAGAAAATTTCCACATATTACAAATAAAGCAGGAGGCATTGATGCATATCCACTCAAAAGTGTTTTAAAATTTGAAATAACCTGATAAATTAGCAATAAAAATTAACTATATATAAAATGAATAAAACCGCATTTCTATAAAATAAAGCTAAAATGAATTTTAAATTACTTTTGGATTGTCCAACCACAGATCAGAGATAAATACAAACATGTTATTTTGATTAACATCGTCTTGTTCCAATTGTTTTAATTTTTCCTATGACATTATATATTATTTAAACATATTACATAATAAAAGTATATTATAATATTACCATTTTGCTAATAAAATCTGTTTTAAATATTTAGATAATATAAATAATAATAATAAAAACTAGATTAAAACTAAACCACAATAAGGAAAAAGTTCAATTAAATTCTCTTTGAAAATGTCAACTTATAAGATGTTAGAATAATATATAAGATATTTGTTAGATTAATATATAATATATAAGATATTGAAAAAATAAAAAACAAAAAAAATAAAGAAATTAAAAAAGTGGAAAAAATAAAAACTTGTTTTTTGATAAGCTTATTTTTATTTTTATTATTAAATTTTTTTATTTATTTTCAAATAATAAAATGTTTAAAAAAGAAAAAATCTACATACCGATGATGCCACACAAACTGAAGAAGGTCCTCCAAAAAAATTTATGTTTCCAAAAAATGATCTAAAAGTTACATTAAAAAAAAAATTAATATAGCAGATAAATGTAAAACCAAACAGAAAGACCAAGTAAATATAGTTTTTACTAGCTGTAACTATCATCTGAATATACTCTTAAAAATAATAAGTTCAACTATCCACTTGTGATAACCAAGGATACATAAAAAAATAAATTTTAATGTATCCTTGGTTATCACAAGTGGCTCATCTTATAATACAGTTAAAATGTTATCAATAACCAATTATATATCTTTATTATATATAACATTTCATAAGCTTCACCATAATGAAAATCATAGATAGCTAATGTTTTTTATAGACTATTTTAGACTTTATATCCTCTCAAAAATATCTTTTCTGAAAAAAATGTTTTGTAACTCCACAAAATTACAATTTAATAGTTACAAATAATGTAAAACAAATTTTAAATTAATAACAATTTTTTTATTTGATGATATCTTATTGATATTATTTGATATCTTTTTGATTTTGAACTCACTATTTCACAAAATTGTTTATAATATTTGAATTTATCATGAAATAAAAATTAAGATATTGAAATATAGGGTAAAAAAAACATCTTATTTAATTATTTGATCTAAAAATGAGGCTGAAAGTCAGTAATAAGATTAAAAGAAAACCCAATCACAGCTTATTTGTGATTTTTATAAAATTCTAAATGTTTTATTATTTAATATATCATGTTATAACAACATATATAGTTAAAAAATATCATTACCTTGTTGTTGCAGCTTTTTCAAGAGGGGGGAATCCTAATGCAGACACATGAAATACTTGATCATCATAGCTACCTAAATGCCAAGCATTAAATACTATATTACATAAGTATTATCTTCATCATACTATCAGTTGTTTTTTTTTGTTTTTTATATTTTTAAAAATTGTTTTCACTTTATTTATTTCTTTCTTTTATATTTTTATTTTCAACATCTATATTTCCAACAAGGATGCAAGCAACCATTATTAGAGTTGGAAGTTACTGGAAAAGAAAAGATGAAGTTTATAAATCAAGATAACAATTAACAGACGACTTAAAAGATTGCAAATTGAATCTTTTACACTATTCTTAAGTTTATTAAGCATTAAAAAAAAAAAAAAAATTAAAAAGCATTAAAAGATAACATCAAGAGGATCTTAAGGCGGTTTATACTCCTTAGTTAAGACCAAAAGTAATAAATTTTTTTGAAGCTTTTTTTAATGTAAAATATCATAATAAATTGCTTTATGAAATAAAGTTTCAGCTTTTTGTCTACTCATACTTAAACCTTGACTTACTATACTATCTGGAAACATTCTTTGAAATCTTATATGATTTGTTATTTTTTTAAGTATTTTGTCGACTTTATTCTTGCTTTTGAACATTCTTTGTTTTCTGTTAACTTAAATAGTAGTTGCTTGCAGCCTTGTTTGGAGTTTTCTGTAAAATTTTACAATTTAATTTAAATAGTTGCTTGCAGCTTTGTTTAGAGTGAATTTTTTTAAAAAAAAAGAAAGAAAGAAAAAAGATTTTAAGAAATTATTTCAAAAATATAGATTGTTTAGATCTATTTTTACACACCCATAGTTACACCCCTAGTAAATTTGTCTTTTTTATTCATACTCAAGCTTGAAGTTTTCACTATTTCTGGAAATTATCTCAAACACTAAAAAAAGCAGTTGCCTATCACTAATGAATTATTATCACAAAGTCTTAAAGCAAGAACATTATGGCTTTGACCTATCTATTGATTAATATAGACCTATCTATTAACATACTAAAAATAGATACTAGTAACTTTACAAATACTGAAAATTTTATTCAAAATTTAGTTCCCAATTAAGTTTACCAATAAAAGTAATAAAAATAACAACTCGAAAAATTACAATATTTAAATAAAATTTGAAAAAAAGATTGTTTTAAAATACTTATTGTAAAATATATTTAATTTATCAAAAATAATTCAAATTACAAAAAATAAAATTGAAGCAAAAAAAACCTTAAACTCAATCCAAATACTTAAAAAAAATTGAAAAAATTCAACAAAAAAAAAAAAATTAATAAAAAAGATCCAGAAAAAAAATGAAAAAAATGACAACTTGACAGCTGTAATATGAATTATTAGCAAAAAGTACAGTCTTAAAAAAAATTGTTTTTTTTTTTCCTTTCTAATAAATCATACAGAAATCCATACTCAATTTTATTCATACTCAAGCTTGAAGTTTTCATTATTTCTGGAAATTATCTCAAACACTAAAAAAAGCAGTTGCCTATCACATAATGAATTATTATCACAAAGTCTTAAAGCAAGAACATTATGGCTTTGACCTATCTATTGATTAATATAGACCTATCTATTAACATACTAAAAATAGATACTAGTAACTTTACAAATACTGAAAATTTTATTCAAAATTTAGTTCCCAATTAAGTTTACCAATAAAAGTAATAAAAATAACAACTCGAAAAATTACAATATTTAAATAAAATTTGAAAAAAAGATTGTTTTAAAATACTTATTGTAAAATATATTTAATTTATCAAAAATAATTCAAATTACAAAAAATAAAATTGAAGCAAAAAAAACCTTAAACTCAATCCAAATACTTAAAAAAAATTGAAAAAATTCAACAAAAAAAAAAAAATTAATAAAAAAGATCCAGAAAAAAAATGAAAAAAATGACAACTTGACAGCTGTAATATGAATTATTAGCAAAAAGTACAGTCTTAAAAAAAATTGTTTTTTTTTTCCTTTCTAATAAATCATACAGAAATCCAGCAAGTGGTATAAACATAATTAAAAAAAGCTACTAGAATTGTAACTGTAACAATTTTTCAAAAAATTCAAGCAGCGTGCCATGATGAGTAAAAAAAAAAAAATTTTGTTTTCATAACAGAAGACAACAAAAACAAAAATAAAAAAATTACAAATTTCTCCATTTATTTTCAAATTTGAATTTTTTTTGTTGTTGTTTAAAAGCGAATGAAAAGCTGAGGAGAGCAACATTAGAATCTCAAAACAAAAACAAATTTTAAAAATTGTGAAATTGTGAACAAGCAAGAGTTTTGCAGGATATTACACTACTTTTAAAAATATTAATTATATAATATTTATTATATAGTCCTGTTTCAATACATATTAGAAAAGTTTTATCGGTTTTAAAGTTTCATATACTTATACATCAGCAATGATTTTTTCTTATGAGAATCAAAAAATCAACTGGCAAAGCGCATCTGTTGTTGTCTACATACAGTGTAAGCTGACAACAACAAAGCACTCAACATGTACAACAACAAAGCACACACTAAAGTGCAAAAAACTGTTTAAATATTTGGTCGATGGCCTTTGAAAAATGAAGTGCTTCAAAATCATGTGAAGCAAGACCATAAAAAAGAGTTTATCTTTGCGTTAGATTCCAAAACTAGATGGAGCAGCATGTTATTCATGTTAGATTGTTTTAAAATCTTCATTAAAGCACTAATTGATATCCAAGCGAACATAATTTTATATGAAATTGAACAGGATGCAGTATCAGGGATAATGAAAAATTTGATGCCAGTAAAAGTTGTAGACACATTATGCTGTGCAGACATTTAATTTAAATTTATGTTACAAAATTTAAGTGAGGATAACGAAATCAGCCTTGAACTGAAAAAGGAGCTAGAAATACAAATTAACCAAAGAAGAACTATTTTATCTAATGTTTTACAGTATCTGCATAATGAAGTTGGATGGAAAATAAAAATTATAAGAGTGTTTCTGTTCATTCTAAAACAGAAATGAATAACTTAATTCTAATCATAGTCCAACATCTTAATAATGAAACTTCTCCAGAAGTTGATTCAAAGGATTCTGAGTCTTACTTTGACATAGAATCTGAAATTGAACCTTATGAAAATGAAACTAAACCCTCCTTGGAGAAATTGTTACAGCAAAAAATACAGCAGTCACTTCTACACTTTAGAACAAGAACTTTAAAAAACCATCAACTTAATCAGCAATCGAAATTAAATTAGATTTTGGGACAAAGGTGGATCGCATGAACCACTTTTGGAAACTATTTACAATAATCTGTTGTGTATTCCTCAAACAAGTGTCAAAGCAGATAAAGCTTTTCCACCCCTGGAATATTTTCAAAAAAATCAGGTCAAGATTTAATGATAAAACTTAATTTGTGTATTAAAAATAGGAACTACAAAAAAAAATTTTTTATTCTTTTCATTCAATTTGTTTTGTTTTACTAAAATACTTAAATAAAAATTTGATTTGATTTGAAATTTTAAGCTTTTTTTTTTCTTTCAAATTTTTCTATCATCACATCTTTTTCTCTTTACTACCAATACTATTATGATTGCCGCTCAAGCGAGATGCCATTACATTCTCCATCAACTAACACTTGATTTTGTGTGATCCATCATTCAGAAAAGTCATAGTCTTTTCTAATTATATTTACTTGAAAATTGGTACTTTGGAATTTTCTCCCGCCTTTGTGTTTTCTTGTCTCATATGATTTGTTATTTTTTTAAGTATTTTGTCGACTTTATTCTTGCTTTTGAACATTCTTTGTTTTCTGTTAACTTAAATAGTAGTTGCTTGCAGCCTTGTTTGGAGTTTTCTGTAAAATTTTACAATTTAATTTAAATAGTTGCTTGCAGCTTTGTTTAGAGTGAATTTTTTTAAAAAAAAAGAAAGAAAGAAAAAAGATTTTAAGAATTTATTTCAAAAATATAGATTGTTTAGATCTATTTTTACACACCCATAGTTACACCCCTAGTAAATTTGTCTTTTTTATTCATACTCAAGCTTGAAGTTTTCATTATTTCTGGAAATTATCTCAAACACTAAAAAAAGCAGTTGCCTATCACTGTTTGAAATTTCAGACAAAAAAAAATCTGGGCTGAAATTCTTAAAATATCTGCAAGTAACCTTACATATAGTTTTAGAATTAAATTTAACAAAAACATATTAAAGGATAAATTAACCTTCAGCTAGCACAAAACAATTTTCTGTGTAGAGTCCAGTATGAAAAACGTAAAAATGTTAAGTACATTTAAAAACATGAATAAAAATAAGTTAATTATTAGAGATGTAGCAAATATTTGGTGACTATTCGGCTACTTTTTTTATTATTTGGTATTCAGCTGAATATAGCAAATTATCAGCCAAATACCGAATACCAAATTGTAATTAAAAAAAAAACATAAAAACAAATTTCATACAATTATTTTATTTATTTTTTATTTTAACAAATAATAAGCTTACATAATACCTAAAATCGCTAGGTGTATATTATGATAAAGAATTTTCATTGTTTGTTGATAGTTTTAAGTTCAGGTTCTTGAGAAGATATCATTTTAAATAAGTTTTGAATTATTTGTGCTATATTTATCTATAGAAACTTCTTCACTGGTTATTATTGTAATCTTTTTGAATGAAAGAGTATGATACTTTTATACATAACTATAGTTAAAACAATTTGATGTAACAATCAACAAATAATGCGTGCTATGACATGACCTAATTATAAATCAAACAAAAACACAACATATTTAAATTATCAACTATCAATTGGAACTATCAAAATAATTAAGTATTACAGAATATGTGACAGCAATATATTCTGTGCTTTAACCTAGCGCCTAGCCGAATATTTAGTATTCGGCAAAATCACTATTCGCGACATCTCTAGTAATTATATAATAAATATTCAAAAAGAAAAAAATTTGAAAAGATATTGTTTTTGAAAGATCTAATTCAACCACTCCAGAAGGGTCTTCTAAAAAATATTTATCCTAAATTTGGAAATATATGTAAATAATAAAAACATATTTAAAAAATTCACAATTTAAGTAGAATAAAAGATGAAAGCCATATGCTACATAACTCGAAAAAATTTCGAATATTACAACTTTTAAGTCTTGTCTTCAGACCTCTTTTAACCTTGTCAACATTCCAAAAACAATGATATCACCCAGATTTCCAGAACAACCCAACAGATGTTCAACAGGTTTTAACTATAACAAAAAAAGGCTTATAAAAATATACAAATAAAGAAAAAATCACACAAACACACATTTGAAAACTTACAGTAAATTTAGCACTTTTGACATTTGATGAAGCAGCAAAAGCTGAAGGAGTAAACAATTCATGATGCATTGTACGCTAATAAAAGGTTTTAATAATAAAAATGTTTTTTTAAATATAAAATTTTAACTGGATAATTAAATTAGCATTTGTTATTATTTAATAAACTAAAAAATAATTAAAATAATTTTAGACAATATTTAAAATGATAAATTAAATAATGTTTAGTAAACTTAAAGTTAACAAAACTAAAGTTTAATATTTTTATTAAGTATTAAAAATGTAAATTGTAAAATATGAATCTAAAAATGTAAAATGGCAATAATAAAAGAATGAAAATCATAAATAATTTCCAAAATTGTTTTAAAGTTATATTTATATGTCTCTTTCACGTGTTAACCATAATAAGAACTTTTTTATCAACCCAAAAAAGGGGAAACTATTTTTTCATACTTCTTGTGTCACATTAGCCTTTATGCTTTAAAATCTTTATTTCTAACTATTTGTTTCATAAAGTGAAATTAAATGTCTGAAAGTGTGTTTTTAAAATATATTTTTTTTGTATAAATATTTCTTTAGAATTTGAAAAAGTAATATTCTTAGGTTACAACTTTTTAGTCTTAATTTAAACAGAGTAAAATCTTTAATCTTTCGACCACTTTTAACCTTGTCAACAAAAGATATATAAAAATATACAAATGAAGAAAAAATTACAAACACAAATACACTTTTAAAATCTTACAGTCTTTCTAAGTTAAAAATATTTCATCCTCATTTTTTTCAGAAAATTTTTGTTGTTTTAATATTCAGCTATTTAAAATTAAAAACATTTCATGGTCATTTGTTTATTTTAATATACTTTTTCCTTAAAAAAACATATTTGGTAGAAGTAACTATTGAACATTCAAAATTTATATATATATATATATATATATATATATATATATATATATATATATATATATATATATATATATATATATATATATATATATATATAGGCCTTGTTAAGAGATTTTGTTGTGTAACGGAAAAGCGCAACATGAATATATGTAACTATATTAAATAAAGATATTTACATCGTTAAAAATTTAATTGTGCCAGTTATGTATTTTAAAATACCTCATTGTAATTAAATTCAAAAACATCAGAAATAATTAAGTCTTTAAAATGTTTAAAAAATTTAAATTTAAAATATATCTTTAAAATAAACAATTTTGTGATAAAAAAAGTTATAAATTAAATTTAAATAATGATTAAAAAAAAAAAAATTCATTATTTTAAAATCTTATACTTATTTAAACTTAATTTTTTTTCTTTAAAAATTCATTTTTTTTGCTATTTTTTTAAAATGAAGGGACACTAGTTTTTGATTGATTTTCCTAAAGGGATTTAAGTGTACACAATTAGAATGGGTTTTCTCCTTTTTACCTTTGCGCTAATTGGCTTTCGATAGAATAAAAATTGTATTTAAACGAAGATTACTGCTTTTTGGCTGTTTTTTTTGCTTTCATTAAAATATTTTACTTTTATGTAACGTGAAACCTAATGTATTTTTACTATTTCTTATTAAATCCAAAAAGAAAAATAGTTTTTTGGTTTTAAGATGTTATTACCAAAACTTGTTTTTAACAAATATCAATATAGTTTCGAAATTTACCTATCTTAGCAAAAGTATTATTTTTTTTTTTAATAAAATAAATATTAGTTAGGCTTTTAAAGAGTTTATTTATTGATCGCGTTCATTTTAGTAGGTTTAAAGTTTGATTCATTTTATAAAAAAATTTTTGTATATAAAATTTAACAGAAAAAGGAAAACCCAAGCATAACATTTAAACTCGAGTTAGAAAAAACTCATTTATAAATTTATAAAAGAGACCAGTATTTGAAACTTAACTGAAATTAAAGTAAAGTTATATGTAATGCGAACATTTTAAAGTAACTTGAATTAAATTTATTAAATTTTTTTTTACTTAAACATAAATTTTGGAAATTTTCTCAGTAAAAAAATTGTAAAAAAAAAACTGTTTTGAAATTTTTAAAAGAATTTTAATTAAATTTAATCAAACAAATTACTAAAACTATGAATAATAATAAAATTAATTTAAATTTAATAAAATTAATTAAAAACGTATTTTTTTTCAAAATCGGAAAATAGAAAAAGGATATCTATCTGCTTTTTTATCTAATTAAAAAAATATTCCACAAATGTTTTTTACAACAATTAATTACATTTAATGTTTTCTGCATAAACTGTTTTAAAAGACTGTTTAAAACAAACTTATTGAAGAAAGTTTTTCGCAAAACATAAATTGCAAAACGCGTATGTAAAATCATAATTACGTACCTAAAATTCAAATATGGAAATGCTTCTTAACAAGGCCTATATATATATATATATATATATATATATATATATATATATATATATATATATATATATATATATATATATATATATATATTAGTGATGTACCAATTAATCGGTATCTGCATCGGCTTAATTGGCCAAAATTTGCACAATCGGTATCGGCCTTTTTTACCGATTTTCCAACCGATGGCATTTTTATATTTTTATCCTGCATTATTATCATAATTAAATAATAAATAAAGTAAACTTTGTGCATTACTTAAAATTTTTTAGATAAATTTTTCTTTTTACTTTGTTTACAGGCAAAAGCTTTAAAAGTAACCTATTTAAGCATTGTTATCTATATATTTTTAATTCTTTTTCACTCCCAATAAGGCTTCAAGCAACCACATAAAGTTAGGAGTTGCTAGAATAAAAGAGTAGAGTTATAGAGCAATGAATTAGTTGACATAAGACTTGAAAAGTTGAAGGTTGTATGAGTCATGAAAACATGAAGATGGGACAGAGTTCCGAAGAGTTGAAGTGCGTGGAAATAAGCTAGACAAATCAAAGTTTTTGGAGCATGAAGAGGCAGATACAGTCGAAAAATGAGACTTTGATGAATGACAAGTCAAGCAAGAATGAGTTTTGACTGATGGAACTAAAGATGAAAGCTCTTTTGAGCAGCAACCATGATAGTATTTGTAGAAAAGAGAAAGAGGTGCAACTTTACAATTATGGGAGAGGCTCAAGCTTTGCAGATAGACCAGGTCCAACTCTGTTTACAATGCATTTTTAAACCTTATCTTGAAGAGAATGAGCATCATTAGAAGAACCAGCCCAAATATGATAACAATATTCCATACAGGGACGAATAAGAGATTTGTATAGGTAGGGAATGGAATCAGGAAAGAGAAAATGGTGAGCACGATAAAAAGAAGCAACCTTAGCAGATGCTAATTTAGCAATCGATTGTATATATGGTTTCTATGAAAAGTCAGTAATGGGTTAACTTGTTTAATTAGAATGGAAGGAAGAGAATGGCCATAAGATTCGAGAGTTGGATTATAAGAGAATTTCTTTGCAAATAGTTCAGCCTTATTTCATGTATTTAAGTATAGCCAAGTACCAAGTATATTTCTATATTTTTAATTTTTTTATTTAAATTCATCTCCCTAAGGCCACAAAGGCCACTTTAGTTATGGTTACAACCCACTTTCAACTTTATAACTCAGAAACACAAACCTTGATGAACAATGCCGCTGCATGTATAAACAAGTTAAGCGCTGTACTACCAGGGACGTGGTGGGGATCCAACATTACAAATTAAAATAATTCTAAAAATAATTAATGTCTAAACAACATATGATTGTTGTTTAGATATCTGAATTACTAATAAACTAATAAAGAATTCTAAGTAAACTGCATACTGCATATGCAAAAAAAAAGAAAATATGTATACTGCATATGCATATTTTCTTTTTTTAAAAATTAAAATAAAAAGTGTTCCTCTAAAATTATACTTATTTTTTTTAAAGTTTTCTATTCATAGTAGAAAAAAAATAAAAATGTATATTTTTTTAACTGAGTTTTTTTAATATCTTTTAAAAACAATTCTTTAGCTTTGATTTGAGTCCAAGTATTTGTTTACCAATACCAATTTAAAGTTGTATGGTTTTATATTTTCAAATTTTTAATAATTAGTAAATTCATCGGTATCGGCCTTTTCCCATTCATCGGCATTGGTATCGGCATCGACCAAAAAAGTGATATCGGTACATCACTTATATATATATATATATATATATATATATATATATATATATATATATATATATATATATATATATATATATATATATATATATTCTCGTATTTTTTCCATTTAATTTAATTTTTTAATAATAGACAAAAAAGTACTCAGTCAACTGTTTTTCTGCTCTTGGTCAACCACTACAACCAACTCTGATCACAAACCAATGATCATTAATAAAGCTAACTGTTTTTTAGGCTATATAGGAAAAATGTTGTTGCATTGTAACTGTTATTATTGAATACAAAAGATTATCTTTTGTTAAAATAAATATTAGCTTGAGTTTACAAAAACTAAAAGGAAAATATTTTGAAGCAAAGCTAATAAAATTTATTGTCATGAGAATATTTTCTTAAATAATGTAGAGGCTTGAGTTAGAGGTGGCAAACTTTTGTAGATTCATATTCAATTACTTTGTCAACTTTGTTTGGAATGCAAGTGATTGTTTTTGTGTAAAGTGTGATTAGGTAATCAGTTTTGTCTAAGATGCTGTTTAGTGAATTATGACATGCAGTTGAGTGAGCTATGGCATATAACATCAAGATATTCATCAGTTAGATATCATGATAAGTTACATAATGAGAATCAATACCACCTGGCCAGAACTATAAGTTCAAAAAACACGTAGAGCTGGAGCCATACATTTTCCTTCCTACTCCTGATCCCTGTTATCAACACCAAGTTTGACAAAGTTTAATTGCCATTAGAAAAAATTTTATATTATTAAAACCTATTGAATCTATAAAAAATTGAATTTGGCGTGTAACAACCCAATCTTGTGCAATCTTGCGCTCAATTTCAATTTGCAACTTAATCTTGTGCTCAATTTTTCTAAGACATTCTGTATCCTTTTTTTTAATAACAGCAACTTTATTTGGCATCAATTTTCCTGCCCTACCAAAATCTAGGTCTGCTGGCAAAAAAGAAAACCCACGAGTTGGAAAATGCATATAAATTTCTGTAATTAATGAAATTTGATTACAATACTAACTAAAAGTTTTGATCTTTATACTTTCTTTTCTTTTTTATACTTTTGATCGTTATACTTTCTTCTATTTTTCTTTGATTATCATTCACTACTGACTTCTTATAAAGTTAGCATTAGCTAACTTTATAATGCCATTATTAAATGCAATATTTGCAATGGGCTAGTAGGTAATCATTAACACAACTTTAAAATATAAGTAGGAAATCGCTCACACAAATTTTTCAAACAAATATTTTAATTAATGATACACAAACAAATTAACTATTTAAACAACAAATTAAGAAAAATAATAACAATACAAATAATTTCATTTAAAGGTATATTTCTATTTTGATGAAGAGTGCTTTTTTATTATTATTTATTTTTTACTGTTAAACAGTTAAAAGAAATGCTATTCAAGACCAACTACCTATTATTTGAATTTGTCTAGAAAAAAAATTCATTAGAAGTTCATAAGTAGAATGTTCCAAGTTCAATATCAGAAATGGGTGTGATGTTTGTAGAAATAATTTTGATGGTACATTTGTTAAAGTTATGGGTAAATAAATACTTCGATTATTTCAAGGTGAGCAACATAAAGTAATTTGCCCCAAATGAAATCATGACATGATGTTTATTTGTGTTGGAGTAGTATACATGTGTATCATATTGTATAATATTATTCACTAACATTAGAAAGTATAAGATTTCAGTGTCTTGGCTTGATGAAAATGATAAATCTGCGCATTTATTATAATTTTATTTTTAATATTATTATTATTTTATATACATATATAAATATATATACATATATATATATATATATATATATATATATATATATATATATATATATATATATATATATATATATATATATGTATACACACACACGTAAGTTTATATATATGAATAAAGAAAAGATCTTTATATTATCATGTATAATATTGTATACTTAAAAGAGTGTAACTAAAAAATTACTCACATGCACATTGTAAAATATTTCATTATATATATATATATATATATATATATATATATATATATATATATATATATATATATATATATATATATATATATATATATATATATATATATATATATATATACATATATATATATATTTATATCAACTTTAATTTTAATTTTTTAATACATAAATAATGCACATTATCACATAAACAATTATTTTAAACAACATTAAACATAACTATTTCACAACTATTAGCTAACTAAAAACAAATTAATAATATTATTAACCTAACCACTAATCAATTTCCATCCCGTAATGATCCATAATACAAATATAAAGCGTAACATCCACAAAACAAATTGTAGCAAAATTAAACTTTTACTACTTGTCTGATGATTGTGGTAACACATGAAACTCAGAATGATGATGTGATGATTGTGGTAACACATGAAACTCAGAATTGCAATATTAAACTATATTATAAACATTAGCATTTAGCTAATTCCTGGTACTGCGGGTAACAGTAACATATACATTATATATATATGCATATATATATATGCATATATATATATATATATATATATATATATATATATATATATATATGCATATATATATATATATATATATGCATATATATATATATATATATATATATGCATATATATATATATATATATATATATATATATATATATATATATATATATATATATATATATATATATATATATATATATATATATATATATATAGGCTTCAGCGGAAGTAAATTAGTGCATGAGCGGAGAAAAGCTCACCTAAAACAAACATGGCAAGCAATGCAAGCTGCCCTGCAAAACAGCAATTCACAAGAGCTTTTGGTTTTTGCACAAGCTATCTGTTTATTCATTATTATTAATTATATATTATAAAATTGCTTATTAAATGCAAAATTTGGTTCTATACTTGTTACAAGCATATATTTGTAATGTTAATGTTAGAAGAATATATACATAACAAGCGCCATTTATTGCGTCGTGAAAAAATTCTTTAGATTAGCATTTTTTGGGGGTTTTTCACACTAGCTATCCATTTATTTATTAACAACATTAATTATTTGATAAAAAATTTGACAAAGAGCTACATTATTTTAAAACTGCTTATGAAAAACATTTTATATTTTCTCATTGTAATAGAATGCAGGCATTTAAAGAATTATTACAACAATTAAAATTTCCACTATAAAAGTGTATATTAAAGTAATTAATGTATAAAATATATAATTCGTTACATAAAATAAAAATTATTATGCAATAATTAAATTTTTTTTTTTTTGTAACAACCGTGCCTTTTAAAAAAAGCATCATAATTAACTATTTTTTTTATAAATTTTTTTTTTTATAAATTTGACTAAAATTGAAATTGACATTTTTCATTTTAGTTACAATAATAATTATACTTTTGAGAGAAAAAACTATACTTTTGTGAGAACTGTAAATTGCTCCCATAAACCGTTTTAGGAGTGTGGGCGAGGGTGAGAGCTAAAGCTCTCGCTTCCTGCCGAGACTTATTTATACATATACATATATATATATTTAAACAATTTAAAATGTATATATATAAATATATATATATACATATACATATTATATATATATATATATATATATATATATATATATATATATATATATATATATATATATATATATATATATTTAAACAATTTAAAATGTATTCTACAAAAAGAGTGCTCAATGTTCTTAACAGAGCAATTACAAATTAGTAGAAAATCACTTAGCAAAATTTAACACTGTGTTTCATCAATAAAGATTTCTGTTGAGTCTTTATTGATGAAACACAGTGTTAAATGAGAAAAAATTTTACTAAGTGATTTTCTACTAATTTATATATATATATATATATATATATATATATATATATATATATATATATATATATATATATATATATATATATATATATATATATTTTCTTGCTGAGGCTTTTATATATATATATATATATATATATATATATATATATATATATATATATATATATATATATATTTTCTTGCTGAGGCTTTTATATATATATATATATATATATATATATATATATATATATATATATATATATATATATATATATATATATATATTTTCTTGCTGAGGCTTTTATATATATATATATATATATATATATATATATATATATATATATATATATATATATATATATATATATATATATATTTTCTTGCTGAGGCTTTTATATATATATATATATATATATATATATATATATATATATATATATATATATATATATATATATATATATATATATATACACACTATAGAATGCTTAGAAAACAAATTGTTATCCTATTTATGTAACATTAATTTATACGGCGTTTTCAGAAAAACAAAAAAAATAAAAATGAAAGACTTTAAGATAGTCAATGTATATATATATTTTTTTGTATGTATTTAGGTGCTCCCAGAAGTCCTTGCGGTCTTATCAAAGAGCACCGCGGGAGAGCATTTAACAGGAAGTTCACGCCTCCTTCCGTACCAATGTCGCTTGTTGGGCTAGAGCTGGCGCCGAACCTCGGACCTCTGGGTTCTGAGCCAGAACTCTAACCACTGCGCCACGGCTGCTAAAATATACTGAAGCCCCCAGCAACAGACTTTTAAGTGTGACGTCAGTGATGTTACCTAAACACGTAGTCTTTTCTATTTGAAATTTGATGCCAGCGCACAAGAAAGGGCTGGCATATAAATATATATAAAATTATTATTGTTGTTATTATTATTAAATGTTAAAAAATAATAAAAAAAATAATAATAAATAATATAACAAATCAATTTTTTTGCAAAATAAAAATTATGAGTTATTATTTTAGAATTAAATACACTTAGTCAGAATGATTTTTGTTAGGATTATTATAAACCAATATTAATGTAATTGAACCAATAAAAAAATAGTAATAACAAAATAAAATTTTAATGGAGTCAAAGCATTTAAAGACAAAAACCTGATATAATAGTGTGTATCTTTCAACAAACATATTAGCTTTATCATCAGCAAGCCCATTAAGACAAGGTTTTCTATTTGAATCTCTAAAAATTATAATTCACATTTGAAAAAATTAGTGTAATTAATTAGAGTAAAAAATTCCTGGCTTCTTAGGAAAGTGTGACATCACAAAAAAAAAAAAAAAAAAAAAAAAAAAAAAATCTTAATAAGACAATTACATTAAAAACAGTAAAATAAACATTTTATTTAAATTCTAAATAAAATAATTCATACATAAAAGTGATTTCACAGTTTTTCATAAAAGTACTTTATGAACAAAAAGGATTTGTACCAATTTAAAATAACTGGCTAAATAAAGAAGATGTCTTTGTTAAAAATAGTATTATATATATATATATATATATATATATATATATATATATATATATATATATATATATATATATATATATATATATATATATATATATATATATAGAGAGAGAGAGAGAGAGAGTTTTTTATAGTCATAACAACAGATAGTCTGGCCAGTCAAACAGTTTTCTCAAATTCTATTGTTTTATAAGTTAATATTTTGAACTAATGTTAAAATAAACAAAAATCTAAAAAAATGGCCAACTTAACAGAGGAACAGTTCATTATCTCATATTAGATCTAAAATCAGATATTTTTTTCGAAAACAATAAGTTTCTCAATGACGTCAATGCTTTTTTAATTAAAATTGAGAATGGAAATGATACAATCACCTTTAACTGCAAGTAGTGTATGAAAAAATTTAAGGCAGAGAAAAGACTCACATGCCATGTAAGAACAATGCTCTCGAATTCTTTAATACAGCAAATAAATGCATAAAGTGATGTTAAAAAAAAAAAAACTTATTGTTGAAAATGATCTTTCCTGCTTTCCATATAGCAGAGCTTTTAAAGTCTCAGAAGATAATACAAAGTTATTATTTGAATTATTAAAGTTAGTTAAGTTGTAGAAAACTTTTTAATAGTGAGGCTAAAACTTTTTAACCAAAATTGCTGGTTAGAAAGGATTTTTCTCACAGAGTTTTCCTCAACTCTTGTTGGATATAAACTTGCTAATCATATTAAGTACTTTTTATTGAAGAATAAGTTATTATTCAAAAAGTTGGCCAAGTTGATTTGGTCAAAAAACACTCATAATTTTGTTGGCTAAAAAAATTATAGATGATGAATCAAATATTTTTGAAGAGTATAATCACTAGAAAAAAATTCAAAAAATCGAGGTAGTCTTTGATCTGATGTTTTTTTTTACTATTTAGAATAGCAGAAATAGAATTCAGAAAGTCAAAATCAGGCTGCAATTTGATGGCAGAATTGGTTTAAAATGTTTAGGTATATACTTTTCAAAAAATTGTTATATAAGTTTTACCATGATATTTTAAAACGAAATTTCTTTCAATCTTTTAGATCATCTTTTAACAATTTATTTTTGTGTTTGCTCATTTTCTTTTATTGGAGCTTGTAAACCTACATAAAATCAAGTCAAAAATGAAAAGAACAAACTTGTTAAGAAAAGAAATCAAGAAAGGGTCTATTGAACTCTACTGAATAAATATTAGACCTTTAAAAAATTTTATTAAAAGCATATTCTAGCATTTGAACTGTATTGCAATATGATTGAAAGATGCAATAATAAATATGATAAAGTGAAAACCAAATAAATTTGTGTAATTTTTTATTTTAATAAAAATATCAAACAACATAATGATTAAAGTAATTGTTTGAAACTACTTAAGAAATTTAATGCTTTTATGAATATTATTTTATTTAAATAATTTTTAAATATTGTTCAAACTTTGCTTTGCTTTGCTTTCCCTTCACACAACTTCAACCTTTAAGCGGTCTTTTTAGCCTTCTCTGAAGTTTCCCTTAGTGTCATCTATATTATGCAGTATGACAAAACAACAACAATAGATTTCTTAATAAAAGATAGCATTCAAACTCTACTCACAAATACTATATATATATATATATATATATATATATATATATATATATATATATATATATATATATATATATATATATATCAGCCCTTAGAATTAAGGTCGGCATTCAGCCATGCCAACCTAACTGCACACCTTAAAGTGTTTGAGGTCGCCAAATTACTGCAGACCTCATTTTTCCTTATTCTGAGGGTTGATATATATATATATATATATATATATATATATATATATATATATATATATATATATATATATATATATATATATATATATATATACAGGGCCTATTCTAGGAAAAAAAATTGGGCAGCAGTCCTGACCGTCCTAATGAAATTTAGCAGAAAATCTGCATTTTTTTGCGAAAAAAAGAAAAGAAAATTTGCCGTAAAAAACGTTTAAAAAAAGGTCCCCCCTTTTTTTTAAACGTTTCTATCATTTTTTGTAACACAGCATTTCTATCAATTTCTGTAAAAAATATTAGAATTCCGACCAAAAAAGAGCAGGTAATTTAGGAAAAATTGCCAATAAACAATCAAACGATCATATGATGTTCATTTCACCTAAAAAGCGTATTTATTTAAAACCTTGTTCAAATTTGAACAATCGATTGTGATTTTAAGATTAAAAAAAAAAAAATCTTAGGCCTAGGTTTTTTTGCTACAAAAATTTTTATTTTATGTAACAGCAAAATTTATCATTTAAGTTTTTTTTGTCTTTTCATAATTCACAGATCTGATCATTGAACTCGTAGCTCTGATCAAAAACTAGTAGTTCATAGCTTTTTTAATTTCAATTTGTGGTTAGCTATTGTGTAGATGATAGTTTCCTCTCTTATAATTAATTATATTTAACAAGTCTTTTTATCTCTGCAGGACTATAAAAGAATATATAAGTAAAAGGATATATATTGAACTCTATAAATGTTTCTGTTGGTTCTAGCTTTTTCAAAAGCTCTAGCAAGGCTCCACTAGATGCATTATTTTGTTTAATTCCAAACAAGGAATTTAGTAGTGAAAAAAACAAAATAATCTCTAAAGATGTAACTAAATGGCCAAGAGATAACAGTTATTTAAAGAAACCTATGTAAAATAGATTAGAGTTAAACAAAATATTTTTAAATAATTAAATCAATGAGTGACAATGGCTGAGTTATTAGAAATAATTTTGATCAAAATCATTTTTATGAAACGTTTATTAGGGAGTTAGCAAGTAAAAATGAAAAAAATGCTGGAAATGTAAACTATATAATAGAAAAATTTCTACATCATTTGAACCATTTAATTAAAACTAGTTTGAGTGAGGAAAATTCTTTGCTATGTCAAAAATCACTGCCAATCAATGTTGAAAATAATAATTTAAATTAAATCAGATACTAAAGATTAATCCAAAAATATTGTTAAAAAAGCTTATAAGAAACAGCGATAGTAGTTTAGGATCAAATGCATGTCAGTGGAGAATTAAAAATAAAGATATTGCTAATGAAAAGTATAAAGAAAAAATTAACATGTTATAAATCCCAAATGACATAGCTAGGTTGTAGACCTAGTGGATTTGGTATTGATTGAAACAGGTACAAAATGATTGATGCAAAGTGCTTTTTTTCAAAATGAAATCTTCCTTTACATGAGGTTTGTATCAATAAAACCTTTTGCATGGAACTAGTAGATGATCAGCAAAAACTAAAAATTTAACATAGTTACTTTTACCAATTACCAAGGTATGATAGCCCTTATAGAAACTAGCAAAAATAGATTTTTCTTTCATAATTACCTTGTTTGATGAAGACTTTTTTGCACAACCAATTAAATTCCATCATGAAAACTGGTTCAATGAGATTTTACATTGTTTAAATACATTTTATTTCCAGTTTATGACTTAAAATATATTTGAAAGTATGGCAATGTTTTAATTATTATAAAAAATCAATATCAATTTTCTTTGTTGGGAAATGCATAAAATAATAAACGTAGCAGTTAAAAAACCCCACTTTTTTATTTATTTTTTAGTTGAACATTTGGTTCACTTGTTATAAAGCTTTTCTTCGAAGATTTTCTTCCAAGTATAGTGCAAGATTTATTCCAATAATACAGTTTTTAAAATTTGAACTAAAAAATTTAAAAGGTGTGGAATAAAATACACCCAAGTCTATTGGGACAATCTCAGTTCTTTCAATATTTGACATTTTACTTAACTTATTTTTTTTGTTTACTTACATCTACATACAAATATCATAATGCATTGTATTAAAGGGGAAAAGGGAATTCACTCACTAAAGATTTTATTTTTAAATGCAAACTTTCTTTTGTAAATATATAATTTATAACAGTTTCTTAAAAATAATATACAAACTTATTACTTTTTTTAAAAATAAGAATAATTTTTTTGTTAGGATCTGTTTAACTTACAATCAGGAAGCAAATAAAATCTATTAAATATCTATATATTATTGCCAAACTTAATAGTTTTAATAGTAGGGTCCCTTGGAGTGTGTTTGACACAAAACTCTTGGCAGCCATTGCAACCGAGGTATTGGCAAGAAAGAGTCGCAGCTTTGCTTTATAAGAAAATGTACGCAAATATGACACTTATATCCTACTTACGTAAACTTCATACTATGTAATTAAAAGCATACTTAAACATGTTATCAAGTTTTACAGTTTGACTTTTACTTTAAAACTGCATTGCGTTAACCTCTTCTTAATTTTTAATCTACACCACTTATTTCCGTTAAGAACAAATTTTATATAGTTTTAAAATTTTGATGACCAATGTGCCAGCATGGCCAAGTGGTTAGCGCACTGAGCTTCTAAACAAGAAGGCCACGGTTCGAGTCCAACCACTGGCGAATTTTTTTTTTAATTTTTTAAAATACTTGTCAAGAATAAAGATTATATACAAACATATCTAACAATGTTATACGCTTTAACAAACGAGAAGATTTTTTTTAAGCTAAAAATTCTAAAAACAATAAAAAACGGGGGGATATTTGTTGCATATGTGTCTTGGTTGAGATGTTCATGTTATTTTAGTTTTACATTTCAAGTTTTTTTTACAACTAAGTTGAGTTTGTGCAAGAAAAATAAAGTATACAACATGTTTATATATAGAATATAAAATCTATAGAACTGTAAAGTTGTTTTGTTTTGCATTTTAAATAACAAAAATTAAAAAATAAAGCAAGATTTAAACTTGCCATGCGGCGACCTTAACTTTTTCAAAACAGTAAAAGGTTTAAAAAGTATGTTTTTTATAAGAACATAATTAAAAATTCTAATTTTATATTTAAATTAAAATATTTTATTAAACCGATTACTTTTAAAAATAATTAAAGTTTAAGTTCTTTAATATTGATACTTAATATTGGAAATTTAGAGTTATTCATCTATTTTACCACATTTAAAACCGAGTGCGCAAACATTCAACATAAACATTCGAAACCGAGTGCGCAACGACGATAGAATTTAGATAGCCATCAAAATAGTATTATACTCCATTATTTTTTTATATACTTTTTGACTGATCCTTTATCTTAACTTTAAAATATGGGATCGTCCATAAATTACACAACTCTAAATTGCACTAATGAACAAAACAAAAATTTTGATCATTTTTGTTTTGTTCATTATGTTAAATAAAAAATCAAAATAGCACCGTATGTTAAATAAAAAATCAAAATAGCATATTAAGTGTAATGAAAATAATCATCCTAAAGAACTAAAGATCTCTTCTACTTTTTTTAAAATAAATTTAGCATTGTATAATTTGCAGGTGATTCCTTAGTGTTTTATAGTCTATAGTTTATAATGGTTTAAGATTTTCTTAGTTCTGCTATACTATTATAAAATAATTATAAACTCTGATACTGTAATAAAACTTTTGCTATAAATATAAAGATGAAAAATTTTCAAAATTTATAAGGGGATGTCTTTAACTCCCCCCAAAACATCACTGGTGACAGTGCACTAAACCACTGAGCTATCTATGATATGTGTTTAGGTGAAAAACAAACCTAATTATAAAGCTCTTACAAACTCTAGGTATGCTGAAAGAGTATGCATGTTAATTTTTTTGCTATTAAAGTGATTTTTTAAAATGAATTATTTTACATAAAAATATTGAAGTAAATAATAGGTATAGAAATGATCGGTGTGGAATAGATAAGTATAGAAAAGGTATATTTGGTAAAGACCCGAATTTTATGGGTCCGGAAAGCTAAGATATATATATATGAAAAAAGTAGAGAAAAGGTAAGTGTGGAATAGACTTACTAAGACCTGTATTTTTACGGGTCAGACCAGCTAATGTTTATTATTACTATTGTTGTTTTATTACTAATTATATAAAATTTGAAAAAAAATTACTTACAACATAAACTTCTTTCTCTCAACATTATAAGTATAATGTGGTACACTTAAAATAAAATCATTTATATAAGTCAAAATAGTTTATACTTTAAGTCAAAATAACTAATTGAGGTTAAACAACAATATGCAACAGATAATAGTAATAATAATATAAAATAAAATAAAAGACAACAATTTTATATCATATACAAATTTCATTGCTTCATAATATTTAACAGTTAATTTTTCAGTAATGAAAAAAAAAACAATTCAACAATGTTTATCACTCATAAAATTTTATTAATTATTCAGCAACAAATTCAGGTGACTTATTTGAATTGATGTTACCAATGTTAACCTTATCATAATTACCTTGTTTGATGTAATCTGATTTAATTATCAGGAGAACTACTTTTACTTAAATCAGTTAAAAAATTTTAAAAACTTTGGCCAAAAGTTAAAAGATCAAACATACTGCAGCTTTGTTATGAGACAACGTCCAAAAAGCTATTAATAATAAGAACATGGTTGGTGCATTTCACAGACCTGCAGAAATATTGTAGATTTTAAATCAAAGATACTTCCATGGACCACTCCTATTTATTATTAACACTAATGATCTAACGTGTAAAGTGTCAATTCATAAAATGTGCAGATGACAGTTATATATTAATAAAATCATTCACGATGATTTGTAATCCATTCAAATCATTCACAATGATTTGTAAATCAATTAAAATCATTCGTAATCATTTGTAAATCAATTCAAATCATTTGCAACGATTTGTAAATGTTGTTGTTAAATTACTCTCTGATGATCTCCCACCCAGTCATCAAACTTCAAGAAACTCTGCAAACATCAAGATGCAGAGTGAGCCACAGAGAAAGAATTTCCGTCGCTCACTCTGTGGCTCAAAGTAAACTAAATCAGTTTTTTTCATTATGAGGTGCAATTTTAAAGTTCCAGGATAATTATAGTCAATACCTATAAGCCTTCAATAGACCAGCCATATTGTTGTAGAAGCACTGTCAATCTTGATAACTAAAAAAGTCTTAAAAAATCCCTGAACATCAAAAAACAATAAATTTTTACTGAACCAAAATTAAAAGTAATTTTTGTGGCATTTAAAAAGATTAAAATAATATGGTAGTAGACTAAAAATATCATCAAATGGTTCTGACTTGTGAAAAATAGCACATCCTAAAAGTTATTTCTGACTTGTGAAAAATAGCACATGAAAAAAGTTCAAACTTATTCTATATTAAGCTTAAATAAGTTTAGAGTAGTACAAAATATGCAAAAATATACATTTTGAGATCATCTTATTATGGAATAATTATCTTGTTATGAAATAATTATGCAAATTTCACTGTAAAGTTCATATATTTGCATTTTCATACTTTATAGAGCAAATTTTGCAAAAAAAGATATTCTAAAGAGCATTATTAATTTTTCTATGGCACATTCAGTATAATAAATCATCTTTATTCACCAATAACTTTTACATATTTTGATTAGTAAAGCTAATATTGTATAATAATATAATATTTTCTGTTTGTAGTTATAACACTAATATAAATGCAATATACAGTTTTAAATTATAATAAGATATATTGCAAGATTTTGCAAGATAAATCAAAAATTATAAAAACAACAAAACAATGTTTAGTTAAAGCTTGTATTTTATTTATACTTAGTAAAAGCTTGTAAATTTATTGATTTAAAACCATAAATAAATAAACAAAATAGTTGAATGTTAAATGAACATAAAATAGTAACTTAAATTAAATTTAATAAAAAGAACTTTCTTTTCTTTAACATAGTTGGGAAAAGTCAAAAAAATTGTATAACGGAGTGTTTTAAATTAAAAAAAAAAGTGAATTAAAGTTAATAAAATAAATTAAAACTTATTAATATTTAATAATTTAATATAAATGTAATAAATTTAAATTAAAATTTTTTAGAAAGCAATTTAAAAAAAAGTTTAGGAAGTAGAAAAATATTTATTTAAATTTTTGTTTTTTTTCGCCAAAAGATAAAACTATATCACAATTGTGGTGAAAATGTTTTTTTACAGCAATTAATTATGGCCTAATATTTCTGCAAAAACTATTTCATAAGACTGTTTAATAATCCAATTGAAAAAAGTTTTGACATAACATAAATGGCTTAAGGTGTAGGTAACCTTTTCAAATGTAAAATACAAACAGCGTAACATTTCTTAACAAGGCCTGAATTGAGCTGACATTAATACTTTTAATATTATATTTCACCTGAAATTTTATTATGTGAATTTATTATTTTAGCTTAATGAAATAAAAATCATACCTGAATGCATCAATGAAATTGAACACCCTATCTCTAAACATACAATAGAAAAATATCGATACCCTTTTATGTTTGTATATATATTAGGGTGGGTCATAAAATTTTTTTTTAGAGTTGCTAACCTGGCTATGGTCTAGAAAGTTGTTTTTTTATGTACTTATTTAGGAAAGTATTTATTTTTATGGATTGAACAATGTCTTCCACCTGCAACTATAATTAAAAAAATTAGCATCCCCTATTATTATTCAAAAAAAAAGTTTTTCAAAATTATGTGATGTAGGTACTCAAAGCGAAATTTTATAAAAATTTCAAAAATAATAATTTTTTCATATAAAAATTATTATTTTAGATTTTATTGCATAATAACTATAGTTTTTTAACTAAAAGTGAAAAAGGTGCATTTTTACATGTTTTTTAATAACAATTTTTTTTGGCAATATGATTTTTAAAAAACAATTATTTTCGAATTTTTTATAAAATTTCGCTTCTTTTGAGTACCAGGTTGACCTCCTTTTGAAAAACTTTTTTTCTCTAAAATATTAGGGTACCAGTAATTTTTCCAATAAAGTTGCGCCCTTTAAATCTATCACAATCATTCTCATTTTGATAGTATCAATATTATTAACTATTAGCAATGTTTAGAGCCTGTAACAAGAAAAAAAAAAATTATGACTCACCCTAATATATATATATATATATATATATATATATATATATATATATATATATATATATATATAAAATACATTTCTTAAAAATAATGTCAATTTAATTATTTAGAAATAGTACCATGTTTTAAACAAAATAAAAACACCAGGTTAATATTTAAATACAAAGCCAATATTGTGGTATGCATACTTCACAACAGTATAATCAATATAAACAGTATTAAATAAAATTTTGATTTATAAATACACTTTGATGAGAAAAAAAATGTTAAACCCAAAAAGTTTTATAACAAATAATACATTTTTGGTAAAAATCAGAAAAATTTTTGGTAAAAAATCTAAGTAATTCCAAAGTTTTACAATAAATGAATATTTAGTATACATTATAAACAATACCCTGTGTCATCATTTCCTTCTTTACATTCAGCTACAGCATGTTCCAATACAGCTCGATCAATGAATACATTATCCACTAAAAACAAAAATTTTGTATTTAAGTAGCCCTAATTTTTAATTAAAAAATTAATTTGAATATTTTTAATTTTATTTCTTATAGTTCATAATAAAATAACAATTTTTTTTTTTAATTATATTATATAAATCTCTACTTTTAACAGCTTAAAATACATCATTAAAATTGTACTATATTGGAAGGCAATCATATGTTAGCAATTAAGGTTGATAATGTCTAGCATTTAGAAAGAACAGGAAAGGTAGTGGTTGTAAGAATGTGTGGACAGACTTTTCAAAATAAGAAAAAAAGCAATGTACTTAGAAACTTGAAATAAGGAGTGTAACTGATAGAAGATAAAGGGCAGTTTGGACATATAAGATAGAGGTACTTTGAAGAGTAAAGAGGTAGATAGAAGACAGAGGGTAGTTAGGAGAGTAAAAATGCAGACAACTTCGTATCAGCATGTAGAGAGTTAGTAATTACAGATGGTAAAGATAGACCTAAGAGTAAAAAACTTTAGAGAGAGTGTAACAGATTACTCAAACAATTTCAATTAAGGAAAGAAAATGCCTAAAGTTGTGTATATTGAAAAAGTTAGATTTAAAATACGCTTAACAAGTGCACTAGAACAAAAGCATGAAACGAGGACATAATCCACAACCCCAATTAATATTATATTTTTGTATTGAATGCACTATACTGAGGTTTTTTTGCTCAGAAAAATTGGAAGAGTACTTGATATTAATTAAATAAGGCTTTATTAATAAACATTAGTAATAGTTTCTGATAAGTTTGCAACCACGCCAACAAATTATTATATAAATACTTTTTTGTGTTGATTACAATGTTATAGTTTATTTGATTTAAATATCAAAGTTTATAAGAGATAGAGATATCAAAGTCCGGTTATTTTTGGTCTACTAAGTTATTGGTGAACAATTATTATTAACAATTATTATTAATTGTTATGCAATTATTTATAACAATTGTTAATAATTGTTTACGTATATTTCACCAATAACAATAAACAAGCGTATACTTATGAACAAATAAATATAATCATATAATTAAAAAAGTTATACATTAAAGTATACACATGCATTACATTAAAAGACTTGTTACATTAAAATTATACAAATATATTTTACAAACAGATAGCAATTTATATTTTCGCCTTCCTTATTTTTTTTTTAAAAGTTAAATAAAGGAAAATCATTATATTTAATGTTGACTTGTAACTGTTTTTTTTTGTTTGTTTTTTTTTGATTTGCCTAATCCAATTTTTTTTGCTGAAATTAACAACCACTCTAAAGAAAGAAAAATAAAAACTGTACACAAATTATTTAAATTATTAGTTGTTTTTTTTTCTATTCAAATTTATTTTAATTTCCTATTTTGTTAGTTTTCCCATCTTTGTTTTTGAAACTTTTTTCTGCAACGCTTAATATAAAAAAACTTGCAAATGGCAGTGACCAAGTTGTCTAAAATAAAATACTCATGCATGGACATACAAGACAAAAAACGGAAAGCATTTCATGGGAAGACTTGCAAAAAAACATTGATAAATAAGTAAAATGGTCAAAAACTTAGAGCATGGGCTTCAATAGCAAATAATGTACATTCATGACAACTCATATAGGAAATAATCAAAAAATTAAAAACATAATAAATAACAGTGAGAAATTCATAATGGAAAACTCTAAAGGGAAAAAGAATCACACTTGATGAAAAATATCTTAAATAAGACCTTGGAATTAGCTTACTAACTAAGCAATATCCTCATACGGTCAAACCATATCCAAGCAATAATAAACAAGGCTTACTTTTTTCTTGGTTATCAAAATCTCTATACAGCATAAACTAGACCACATCTTGAATACTTGAATATTCATAAATTAAAAATAATAATACTGCAAACCAGTATGGAACTGGTACTTCAAAAAATACATTTTCAAATCAAAAAAGTTTAAGAGCTACCGAACTAACAGAAATACTTAGTCTCATCACAAGCTTTACCAGAAAAGGTGTGCGGTTTTTTGTCTTGTATGACCACACGCAAGTATTTTATTTTAGACAACTTGGTCACAGCTATTTGCAAGTTTTATAATATTATTCCTTGTGGAAAAAACTAAGTTTTAAAAACAAAAAAAGCAAAACTATCAAAAAATAAAATAAAAAGAAATTTAAAAAGAAAAAAATATTAAGAAATTAATAATTTAAATAATTTGTGTACTGTTTTTATTTTTATTTCTTTAGGGTGGTTGTTATTTTCAGCAACAAAATTAGATAATGTGAAGCAAAAAAATAAACAAAAAACAGTTTCAAGTCTACATTAAAAAGAATGATTTTCCTTTAACTTTTTTTTTAAAAAAAGGAAAGCGAAAATATAAATACATTTGTATAATGTAACAATTATACATCATCCCTTTATGAAAACATCTATGTAATAAATGCGTATACTTTTATGTATAATTTTTTGTATGATATAACTAGATTTATTTTATTATAAGTATACATACATTTGGCTCATTTGGATAGAGCGTGAACTTTGTAAACGGAGAGTCAGTGGTTCAAGACTAACTTCTTTAATTTTTTTGTTTTTTTATCGAATGCTAAAGAGAAACATGTTTCCGTTAAAATATTAGGGATAAAAAACGTATAGGAAACATAAGGTAATATGAAACAATTAAGGCTATGTGTAGACGGCATGTCCTAATTAAAGCTTAAAAACTTTGTATATATATACAGGCTTGGTCGGGAAGCGGGTGCGATCACACTTGATAATTGACTACGGAAATAATATTTAGTTACGTAAAACCGGCCAGATTTTTTAGTTGTTTTGAGAACATTTCAAAAACAAACAAACAACAAGATTAACTGAACCGTTGAGCTACAGTTAAAAAAAGAAAACAGCTTTTAAAGCAAAAAAACTTTAAGCAAAAAAATACGATTAGAGAAAATATTTTGGAAATGCTGTTCTTTTATTTATTTTTTTAATAAAATTAGGCGACATTTTTTATATAAAGTAACAACTTACTATTAATGATTGTTTAATAAGGAAACAAATGTTCTTTAATTTATCAACGAGTATATAATTTTTATTTATATACTTATGTCTTATTTTCAGTGCTGGATTGAGGAGGTGGGGGAGAGCGATTTGGGGTAGAAGGGCTATAGCCCCGAGACTCACAATGTTAGAGGCCGCGAAATAGTCAAAAGGACCATTCGGTATTTTTTTTTAGTCATTTTTATGCTGCGGCACATAATAAATGCCACTAAAATAATGCAGCCCGCGGCCCTGAAAAGTCCAACAAGATTCAACCAGTAAAACTAACGCTAGATGATTTATTTATAAATAAAAAGGTTTTTTTAATAACTGTTTTATGCTTCGCGTAGTTTGAAAAGCTGAACACATTTGAAACTATTCTTTTTAGTAAGATGAACAAATGAAATAATTAAATTATTGAGTTACTGTAGAAATTCAATTAACTAGATAGAAATTAACTAAAAACGTTAAATTACTTAGTGGGGAGGAAGCGGAACAGCTTCACATTACCGCTCATAATGTTTAGTGAGTGGGCTTTATAATTTTAATTAGTATTTAAAACAGAAAAGAGTTAAGTATAACGAGTTTGTAAGAATGGCTGAAGCAAAAATAATTGATGTTAGTTAACCAATTTCTAAGAACTTAAAAACTTTTCTTTCTAAGAACTTTAAAACATAAATTTAAAACATTTATTTTTGTAAACAATTAATGTTAGTTTAAAAGATTTATAGCTTTGTAAATGTTGCTTCGAGAATGACATAGTATTAAAATAAAAGTTCGTTTGATAGTATATTGTTAAAACAATTTATGCTAGAAATCTTGACTAACATAACAAAACTCAAATAATACAACTTTTTAAAATAATTTAACAGAATACTCTAGAACATTCGGTTAGTATTTTTTAAATACTCTAGAAACTTCCGCTAGCATTTTTTGAACCAATAGAATTAGTTGTTAGTAGATTTAGCGGATTTTTTGTGTTTGCGAATATTCTTTTTTTTATTTTTCCGCACAAAGTTTGAGAATATTTGAGTTTATGTATGTTTCCGTGTAAGTATGTAATACAAAATATTGTAAGATTTACGATAACTTGATAATTATTTTGCGGACAAACAAGGAAACATATGTGAACTTGAATGTTCTCTAAACGACTAAAAAATCTGGCCGGTTTTTCACAACTAAATATTATTTCTGTGGTCAGTTATCGAGTGCGATCGCACCCGCTTCCCGACCGAGCCTGTATATATATACTTAGAAAATACACTGAAAGGTTTATATGGTATAAGAAATCTGAATGTGATATGTGTATCATTCAGAAACATATAACAAAAAGATTTTTTATATATACAAATAAGAAAAGATAAATGGTTATAAAGCAAACATATGACCAGCGATATTTAAAAAAACAACAAAAAAAAATGGGGACAATATATATATATATATATATATATATATATATATATATATATATATATATATTTCTGAAATATTTGGTCTTACATTTCAAGGTTGTTTACAAATAGTATAAACTAATAACTTCACGTAAACACCTAATGATAACGATTAAAATAGTAATAATAATAAAGATAATATTTATAATAATAATAATAATAAATAATAATAATAACATTTTATTTTAACAATAGTAATAATAATATACTAATTAAAATAATTTAAATAAATCAGTAATATTTTCCATACAACAATCGTTACTACATACAAAGTTACAGTTACAAACAGTAATTAACTGACAAAACGTAACAACTAATGATGACATAAAAACAACCGCTGCTAAAAAAAATTATACAGATTTATAAAATATATTTTTCTTATAATATAATAACCGAAATATATTGCAAATAATATGACAAAGCAAATAAATAGAATGCAAAAAAGAAAAATACTTAGAAAATCAAAGCAAAACAAAAGTTACAACAAACATTACAAGCAAAACAAAAATTTACGTTAAGTTCATTTTGCAATAATACAAAAAACAACATCAACAACTACAAGAAAAGAACAACATAAATTAGAAATAATAAAGAAAGAAAGAAAAAAAAAAAAAAATTAATAATAATACACGGTAGAATAAAACATTTATAACAAATGCTCAAAACGAAAATAAAAACAAAAAATATATAACACTATAACAAATTAGATATCACTATTTAAAAATAATTAAATAACTAAAAAATAAAACAATAAATGACTAACAAAAAATAATAAGTAAATTTTTATACGCTAAAAAACTAAAGAAAAATCATTACTACAAGACCGCTTAAATAAAAAATGAAATCGTAAACAAAGAATCCTAAAAAAATATGAAAGAAAACTAAAGAAATATATGAAATAAAACAAAAGAAATATATGAAAAAATAAAAAAATCTTCATTTTCCGATCTTTTTTCGATGCATAAAGTTTTTTTTTCCTTTTTATCCATTCTTTTTATTTATTTCATTCATTAACTTTTTCTCTTAACTTCTATTTTCTATACTTCTTTATTTATTTTCTTTCAGATGATCTTTTCTTGTTTTAAAATATTTATTTTTAGTTGATTTTATTATTGGCTTAACTTATAAATGTTTTCTTTTCTTTCTTTTTTCCTCTCTAAAAAAGTTGTTTTTATCCGTTTGAAAAAAGCGTCCGCCAGATGCAGATGGAGGACAGATGCAGGAATTAAACCACGGACATTCCATGTATAAAAATAACCCCTTATCCAAATGAGCTAAACGTGCGTATACATATAATAAAATAAATATACTATTACAATACAAAAAGTTATATATAAAAGTATGCGTGCGCATTACATAGACACTTTCTTATAGGAACAGTATATACTTGTACCATTAATATTATAAAAATATATTTTACAAACAGATGGCAATTTATATTTTTGCTTTCCTCTTTAAAAAACATACAAATAAAATATAGGTAAATCATTCTTTTTAATGTTCAAAACTGTTTTTTTTTTTTTTTTGCTTTGACTTTTGAATTTTGTTGCTGAAAATAACAACCACTCTATAGAAACAAAAATAAAAACAGAACACAAATTATTTAAATTATTTTTTTTTATAGTTGCAAATTTTATTATATGCAACACATATAATAAAACTTGCAAACGACAGTGATCAAGTTGTCTAAAATAAAATACTCATGCGTGGACATGCAAGACGAATTACTGCACGCATTTCCTAGGAAGGCAACATATTATAAAATAGAAGAAAAAGATGAGACTTAATTTAATATTTTAAAATTGAAAAATAATTCAATATAGTCAGGTGGGTCCAACCTAATAGAAAAACTGCATTAAGCAACCAACATGGCTTGGCAGGTGGAACAAGAAAAGAAACTCATAAACTAACCAGACAACCGAAAAAAATAATTCAACATGAAAAATTCTTTGCAAATTGAGTTATTCCAGATTAGAACAAATTGCAAAACACAATTATTTTAAACAACGCAGTCAATATTTTTTAAAATAAATACAATAACAAACAATTAAGCATTTGGCTACAATAGCAGGAACAGACCTGTTCCACAAATGAATAAATCTGCCATAGCCTACTCTTAATATTGTTATTTACTATAATTATTATTATAAACATAATATATATATATATATATATATATATATATATATATATATATATATATATATATATATATATAAAATATTAAATTATATATATATATATATATATATATATATATATATATATACATATATATATATATATATACATATATATATATATATATATATATATATATACACACACAGTTTTAATTATTATTTTCATGATTTTTTAAATATCTTTTTAAGTCTTTATTTTTGTCTTATATATATATATATATATATATATATATATATATATATATATATATATATATATATATATATATATATATATATATATATACACACACACAAATAGTATTGCGTACTAAGGGAAGCAATCTGACGTCATACTGAAATAGCCTGCTGCTGGGGGCTTCAGTACATACATCGACTGACAAATAGCCTGACTTGCAGCGGAGAGCTGCTACATCGACTGAGGGTTTAATGTGGGGCAGCAATCGTTTCATTCATCATTTTTCGTTTTTTTTCTTCTTTTTTTAAAAAAGCTGTATGGGTTAAGGTAAGCAAAAAAAAGTGAGCAAATGCTTATAAAAATACGCTTTAGTAAGTGTATATATCTTATACTGCTGGGTTAGGTGAGCATGATGACATCATACTGAAATAGCCTGCTGGCGGGGGCTTCAGTACATACATCGACTGACAAATAGCCTGACTCACAGTGGAGTGCTGCTACATCGACTGAGGGTTTGGTATGGGTCAGCAACCTTTTCATTCATTATTCTTCGTTTTCCCTCATCGTTTTCTCACGATGCTCACTTAAATTAGGCTAGCAAAAAAAGTGAGCAATTGCGCATATAAATATGCTATAGTAGATATATATATATATATATATACATATATATATATATATATATATATATATATATATATATATATATATATATATATATATATATATATATATATATAAGACAAAAATAAAGACTTAGAGATATTTAAAATATCATGAAAAGAATAATTAAAACTATTTGCACTAAGACAGCCTTATAAATTTTTGGATACTGTTAGTGACAAGACAGTGACGAGAAAAACTAGGAGAAAAAAAAAATTTCAACATCAAAACTTTTTAGAATAAAAATTTAGTCAGACATTAAATACAATAAATATTTTATAATTAATATTAAATTATATTAAGTTATTTATTACTTAAAATAAAATTTAAAAAATAAAAACCTATTATATCATAATGCAAACTTATAATAATATTTGTTTTATTTGATAAAAAAAAAACATTAAATCTTACAAGGTTGTTTTTGCACAATTTCAATAACTCTTCTTAACCAAGTATCAACCTCGCCTGAATCAAGATTCTCTAATGTTTCAATCAGAAACTTTGAAGCTTCACTTATAAAATAAACAAAACAATTGATGCAATTAAGATTTAAAAATTTTGTATCTAAAGAAAAAAATAAATCCATTTTACCCTCAACTTTGCAATTTTGTTGCATAACAACGGTCAACAATAATTTTTCTTAATTAAGCAACTCAAAAAAAAATCGGATGATGAATTGTTAATGTCATTAGGCAGCCGTGGCGCAGTGCTTAGAGCGCTTGCTTTATAAGCAGGAGATCCAGGTTCGAAATGAGTTTTTGACATATTTTGCGTCAAGGTAAGAAAGGAGGCGTGAACTTCCTGGTTCCTTTTTCTTACCCAGAATTAAATAAACTTTTTGAATCAAATATAATACAATAACTGGTAAAGAAATTTAATTAAATGAACCAAAATAATATAATAATTAGTAAAGATACCAAGAATAAATAATTGGCATGAGCTAAATAATTGAAAAAAGCCTCACAATATTGATTCTAGAGAAGACTTTAAATTTGGAATAGCTGTCATGACAATATTTTTAAGAACCTTTCAACACAGCATTATTTATAGTTAATGTTGATCACACAAACTTCAAATAAAAAAATCTGTTAACACTAATTGTGATGAAATTGAACAGTTTATTCGTATAAAATTAGACCAATTATGCAAATAAATTTTGAGCAGGTTAGTTGAAGAAGAAAACTACCTACCAACAAGCAAACTATTCCCACAAAATCAAGCAGTTCCATCAGATAATATTTTCTAAAAGAATCACACAAACAAAAAAGTCTGAGCACAAAGTGAATGCAATACTCAATCTATTTTGGTAAAGAAAAAACAGCAGTTCCTTATGAATTTGGAGGAGTTAAAACGGTAGTGCTGATACATTTGCCAAAAAACATAGGACATAAAATTTACATGAGCACTCTTAAAGATTTTGGAATCTGGAGTGCTGGAACATTGTTTGTTATGATTGATTATGATATAATACAGTATGCTGATTTAGAATCATGTAAAAATATAGGTCCGAAAATTTATGGAAAGTACTCTAATTTGATGTCTAAGTTTAAAAACTACAGTAAAAATGCCATGATTAGCAAATTATAAATTAATTTTTTTGATCACTTTTGTTTTTATTGACACTATAAAGAAATTAAAGTTATGATAAAGATCATTTTAAACTAACCTTAACCCAAATGCTTATGTTTAAACATACTCTAATTGTCGGTCAATGTAAGTACATTTAATTCTGCTTTGATCTCAATTTGCCAGTTGATATATCTAAATTCATTTGCGCTAATCCTTATGTAGGTTGACGTTTGTACATACAAAAAGGAAATGTCATAGAAAAAGTCATAAATAAAACTAAATTTAAATAAACTTTATTTTTGATAACAAAATAAACTGGTTTAATTAATTAAAAAAAGATTTTCTAAAAGATTAAAAAAGTGTAAAAAAAACATTTTGAAAAAAATTAATATTAGTACAGGTTATTATTAATACAGGTTGGTTGAAAAGTTTTGAAAGAGTTACCTTTTAACCAGAAGAATAATCAAAATTTATATGCTATTTAAACACTTCATCTTTAATTTGAACACACACAAAATTCTAGTTTGATTTTTCAATTCATTCATTGTTTACAAGTTAATTATATATATACAAATATATATATATATATATATATATATATATATATATATATATATATATATATATATATATATATATATATATATATATATATGTACATATATATAGCATGGAAAGTAGGAATTGAAGGCCAGCAGTCAATTTGACCGGCCAACTTAAGGAATTGACAGTCAATTGTTTTTTTTTGGACGATCAAAAAAAAATTATTTTTTTTTTGTTACCTTAGTAACCTTGGCAATGGGTTGTTAAAGCAAAAAGATGTTAAAGCGAATTTACTTCGTTCTTTTATAATATAATATAACCTGGTTTTTATCTTTTATTTTTAAATGTTGTTTTTTAAAATTTTTCAAAAATTTAAATTATTAAATAAATAAATATTTTATCAACAATTTAATAATATTAATTTTAATACTTTTAAGTTTATTAAAATATATAAAAAAATAGTTTTTATTAAAAAATTATTCTAATAGTTAAAGTTTGCTAATAGAAACCAGTAACTTTTTCACTCTTTTTTTGAACCTGAACCGCTCTTTATGACTAAACTTTATAAGTCCAAAAAATAGTTAAGGCTCGAAGGGCTTAAAGAATTAAAAATGAATAATAAAAATTATTAATAAAATCAATGTTTTTTTTAAAAGCGCAAACAGGCAATTTATAATTTTAAATTTATTTAAAAATAATTCATTTCATTGTAATGACTAATATTTTGTTTAATATTAATATCAATGAATGTTTAATATTTTAAATATTTTTAAACATTGGTCTTCTTGTATTAAACAATTTGTTAAATGAAACAGATTTTAAAATTTTAAATAATAAACAATTTGTTTAATAAAACACTTTAAAAATTATTAAAATTACATAAAACGAGATTGTTAATAAAACTGTATATATATATTTTTTAATAATCCTGTTACAAAAAAAAAAAAGCGCTTGCGCTCAATCAGTAATTTTTAATTAATCTATAAATAATTCATTCATTTATTTGCAATTTGCTGCAAAACTTACAAAAAAATAAATAATAAGACTTTAAGAAAAATAAAAAAAAATTAAGTGCAGATAAAAGAAAAACTGTTCATAGTTAAAAACATAATTTATTTTATATTATTATATTGACAAAATAAAACATTTTTATATGAAAATTTTTATATGAAAATGGAATAAGAAATAAAATAAATAAAATAAGAACTTCAATCGTTTAAGAAAAAAGGATTTTTACTAAAAAACAAAAAACTTATGATTATAATGATTATAGTTTACGTTGTTATATATACGTTGTGTAAGTTTTGAGCAATACATTCATCAACAAAGAGAATTAATGAATTCAGGGTTGTTGAAGCAGAAAAATCACTGGTTTCAATTAATATTGTAATAATTATTAAATAAAAGTTTTAATAATGATAAATTTTATATATACTTGATTATATTATAAGTAGCCGAATTCAAAATATTAAATTATTATTAAATTATTAACTTTTAATTATTGTATTATATTGATACAAATTATTAATAAGTTTTTAATTTTAATTTTTTGAATTATATTTATAAAAAAATAAATTTATTTGAACATTTCGAAAACAAAGATAAAAACCAAGCAGTATTCAAAATAAAAGAATTGAAGAAAAAATTTGCTTTAACTTCTATTCGCTTTCAAACTTTTCGCTTTAACGACCCATTAGCAATTAAAGTAGCGTATCATTAACAAGGAAACTATTTAAAACCCTTTTTCAAAATTCAAATAGTTTATCAAAATTTTATTTATATACATTTTCCAAACAAAATCCTGATTTTTTGTTAAACCTTGTTTTAAATCTCTAATTTTTGTTAACCGGTCAACCATGACCAGCAAAAACTGATTTTGGAAGGTCGAAATAGCACTTTTAGTCATTTCAGGCGGTCATTGACCATTGACTGGCTGTATTTTTCAACGCTTAATATATATAAATATAAATATATATATATATATATATATATATATATATATATATATATATATATATATATATATATACAAGGGCTGTACCAAATTTCGGTTCCTGCTCCAGTCGAAATCCGGCCATTTTTACAAATCCGGCTCCGGCTAAATGTAAGCAAATCCGTCATAATTTTGGTCGGATTTCTGAATTTTGGTCAGATATTTATGACATCTTTCTTGCCTGTGATAACATGTATACTTAATATTTGATTTTTACAAATCAATGTTTTTAGTAATTCTATAGTCTATGAACTTCATGTTTGTTTTGGTATCTGTATTTACATTTCTTTACAATTTGATTAGCTAAGCCTAATTTCAAACAACAACACAACAAAAAGTTCTGAAGAGAAGACACACGATTAGAGATGTGACGCGTTTTTTTGTTTTTTTTTGGAAAAAAAACATAGGGGTCCGTTTTTTTTGTTTTTTTTGGGAAATATTCAAAAATTCATTGTTTAAGTTACTAAATTTAACTTTAATGGCAATATCTTAACTCATATTTTAATTTCTGATTTAAATAGGACAATAAATACTGAAATTTATTGAATTAATTTTTGTTTTGGTATATTAACACGGTTAAAGGTTAACACGGTTGAAGCAGTCCTGTATAAAAACTTCTTTGATAATTTTATCTTCCTCAATTTTATCTTTATTATTTTTAGTGTATATTGACACAATAAACATTATTTATTTACATTTATTATATTTAATAAAATTTAATAACTAATGAATGAGACTTAGCATAATAAAGAGTCAAGCGGGAGTGAGTTTTTATTAATGGAACTAGAGATAATAACTCTTTTGAGGAGCCACCATGATAGAATTTTAGAAAAGAGAAAGAGATGCAACTTTACAACAATGGGAAAGAGGCTCAAGCTTAGCAGTTAGAGCTTGTTTAGAAGAAAAAGGGCATCATAAGAAGAACCAACCCAAATAAGACAACAACATTCCATACAGGGACCATTTTGTATTGTATATTTTGTTTACATGAAAGGTTAGTAGCAAATAATATTCCAAGAAGATGTAAAAAAGAGGACTCAGTAAGAGGGTTACCATTAATTAATATAGGAATGCCGACAGTATTGTGGTAGTTGTTTGCAGTAAATAACTGAGTTTTATTGGAAATAAAATTTATAAGCTAAAATATGTGAGCCCCAATCTGTGAACAGATTGGGGCTCACATATTTTAGAAGTCTTCTCTTTTTAATCGCTTAGAACAGGCAACCAATTTTGTATCACCAGATACAAAATTGGCTGCCTGTTCTAAGCGATCAAAAAAAGAATACTTTTTGTCAAGACAGGAGTAAAAACTTGAGTCATCAGCAAAAAGAGCTACTATAGATGTAGGGTTGTCAGGAAGATCAATGATGTAAGAAACAAAACAGGACCAAGAATAGAACCTTGAGA